CCCAGTCTCATTCTAAAATTTTTATGAGCACAGGCTGTGTGCCAGATGACAGTGAACAAGACAGGGTCCCTGTTTAAAGACCATAGAACTGACCTTCTAGCTGACAGTAATAAATACATATCTATGTACATACATAAGAATGAATAATGTCAGATACAGAAGTACACATACGAAAACTGATTTAACAGGAAGGATGGTGAGGGTGTATGAGACAGGGGGTCAAGGAAAGAAAGAGCTCTCTGGGAGGTAATATTTGAATTGAGACGTGAATGTCATAAAGATCTGCAGCGGGGCATTCCAGGCAGAGGAAACCCACATACAAAGGCTCTGGGGTGAGCAGAAGCTCAGTATGTTCAGACAAAAAAAAGAGCCAGCATGCCAGAGGGTAGAGAGTAAATGAGGGAGAGAGAGAAGCAAAGCAGGGAAGTGTCTTTTTTGTTAAAACAAAACAAAACTTTAATTCTATTGACAAATAATAATTGCATCTATTTACAGTACAATGTGATATTGTGACCCACGTATATATTGTGGAATGGGCAAGTTAGTCTAATTAACATATCCATCATCTCTTATAATTATCATTTCTTTGTGGTGAGAACATTTAAAATCTACTCTTTTAGCAATTTTGAAATACACATTATTATCAACGATAGTCACCTTGCTGTGCAATACATCACCAGAACTTATTCCTAACTTTGTACCCTTTGATCAACATTTCCTCCTTCCACCCAACACTCAGCTTTGGGAACCACCATTCCACTCTCTACATCTATGAGTTCAACCTTTTTTGATTCCACATACAAGTGAGATTGGGCAGTATTTGTCTTTCTGTGCCTGGGTTTTTCACTTAGCATAATGTACTCTACACTCATCCATCTTATGGCAAATGACAAAATTATGTTCTAAGGCCAAATGGTATTCCATTGTGTGTATACACCACATTTTTACCCATTGATCTGCTGGTGAGAGCTTAGGTTGTTTCCATATCTTGGCTATTACAAATCATGTGGCAATGATCATGGGAGTGTAGACATCTCTTTGACATACCATTTCATTTTCTTTAGATACATACCCAGAAGTGAGACTGTTGGATTATATGGTAGTTCTATTTTTAATTTTTCAAGGAACCTCTAAACTGTTTTGCAAAATGGTTGGAAGTTATACCTCCTTTACTCCTCATGTTCAGTAACACGTGTTAGCTTTTACCCTTCATGCTCAATACTCCTCATGCTCAGTAAGACTTTACTCCTCATGCTCAATAACTTTACTCCTCATGCTCAATAACACTTGTTATTGTCCATCTTTTTGATAACAGCCAATCTAACAGATGTGAGGTGGTATTTCATTGTGGTTTTAATTTGCATTTCCCTGATGATTAGTGATACTGGGCATTTTTCATATGTCTGTCGGCCTTCTGTATATTTCCTTTGAGAAATGTCTATTCAGGGCCCTTGACCATTTTTTAATAGGGTTATTTGTTTCCTTGTTGAGTAGTTTGAGTTCCTTATATAATTTGAGCCCCTTATCTGATGTATAATTTTGCAAATATTTTCTTTCAATGTGGGGGTTGTCTCTTTATCTCTGTTGTTTCCTTTGTTGTACAGAAGCTTTTTAGTTTGATGCAATCTCATTTATCTGTTTTTACTTTTGTTGCCTATGTTTTGGGGGTCATACGCAAGAAATCGCTGCCCAGACCAATGTCATGTAGCTTTTCCCCCATGTTTTCTTCTAGTGTTTTATAATTGCAGGTCTTACATTTAAGTCTTTTTCTTTTTCTTTTTTTTGTTAGATAAAGTCTTGCTTTGTCACCAGGCTAGAGTGCAGTGGCACAATCTCGGCTCACTGCAACCTCCGTCTCCTGGGCTCCAGTGATTCTTCTGCCTCAGCCTCTTGAGTAGCTGCGACTAGAGGCGTGTGCCACCATGCCCAGCTAATTTTTGTATTTTTAGTAGAGACGGGGTTCCACCATGTTGGCCAGGATGGCGTCCATCTCTCGACCTTGTGATCTGGCCGCCTAGGCCTCTCAAAGTGCTGGGATTATGGGCGTGAGCCACTGTACCTGGCCACATTTAAGTCTTTAATACATTTTGAATTGATTTTTGTACAAAGGGTGAGATAAGGATCCAAATTCAATCCTCTGCATGTAGATGGCCAGTTTTCCCAGCACCAGTTGCTGAAGATACTGCCCTTTCACCAGTGTGTTCTCAGCCCCTCTGTTGAAAAATCTATTGGTTATAGATGTGTGTAATTTACTTCTGGGCATTCTATCCTGTTCCATTGGTCATTGTGTCTATTTTTTTGCTAGTCTCATATTGTTTTAATTACTATAGCTTTGAAATACAGTTTGAAATAAGGTAGTGTGGTATCTCCGGCTTACTTCTTTTGCTCAAAATTACTTGGGCTAATTGGGGTCTCTGGTGATTCCATATGAATTTTAGGATTGTTTTCTATTTCCATGAAGAATGATGTTGGAATTTTGATAGGGATCGCATTAATTTGTAGATTACTTTTGGCAGATATTTTAACAATATTGATTCTTCCAATCCATGAAGATGGGGTATCTTTCCATTTGTGTCATCTTAAATTTCTTTCATCAATGTTTTATAGTTTCCAGCATACAGAATTTTCACCATCTCAGTTAAATTTACTCCTAGGTTTTTGGTTTTTGTTTTTTTAAATATCATTGTAAATGGAATTGTTTTCTGTCAACTCTCATTACTTGTATTAAACATAGTACCGGAAGTCCTAGCCAGAGCAATTAGGCAAGAGAAATAAAAAACAGCCAAATAGGAAAGGAAGAAGTAAAATTATGCTTGATGATGACATGATCTTATATGTAGAAAACCCTAAATATTCCACAAAAAAACTGATAAAACTGAGAAACAAATTTAGTACAGTTTCAGGTTACAAAATCAGCATAGAAAAATCAGTAGCATTTTTATATACTAATAAGAAACTATCTGAAAAAGAAATTAGGGAAGTGTCTTGAGGCAGGAGGCACTTTTACCTTCTCAGTGTGTTTTATAAAACTTGCCCCTACTTTATAAATACATCGACTTTTTCCCCAGGGAATATGCGTATGTAAAATCCTGAAATTTTCAAAGGAAAGAACTAAATGTCCAAAGAAGGTAGAAAATTACGAAAAATGAAATTATACTTACCATAGGAAATAGCACATACTCTCTGAGGAAATCTTGAGAATCAAACTGATTATAGTCTCCAAAATCAGCTGAGAAGAAAAGAAGGTGGAAGGGTAGTATTTATTATAAGAAATTAAAGATAGAATAAAATAGGGCAAACTCATCACCACATTATTCTTCACATTTCATCCTATTTCTCACTATTATTAAATAAAAATAGTGCCAAGGTATGTTTGACGTAGTTACTTTTATCTAACAGTATGGTAAATATCAGCATGTAAGCATCACTACATGATTTTTTAGAAATAATGAAGAAATTTAAAAACAATTCATAAAGGCCACTT